TCAGACTTGGCCATTTAAACTGCTGCAGTGCAATAAAATTACATCATATCGGCAAGGATTTTACTAAACACCTGGTAGGAATAAAAGACATAGCGTTGCTTCCAAGGAACTTAAAATCTAATCAAGAAGACAAAGCAAGCACTCATTAAATTAGAGGAAAATATGGAAATTACATATTAACTAGTGCTGAGTTGTATGATGCTGACTATGCATACTGTGGAAGAAATTTTTTTTAACTGGAAGATTGTTATATGTAAAGGTGAAGGAAGGTTTTGGAGAGCAGATGGAATTTGTGCAGGGCCTCAGAGAAAATATATTAGGTTTTGGACCAGCAGAGGCGGTGTCCCAAGGCATGAGTCAATGAATAAGAAACAATAGAAAAACTTGAAAGGTTTAACACATAATTTTAAAGAAAAGGTCTCCATTGGAGAGGTGTTTAGAGAACTTACCAAAGAATCTTACTTTTTTAAAAAGCCATCTTAAAGTCATCCATTATGGACATTTTCCCAAAGTTCCCACATCACAGCTCTGGAGAAACCTATTAGGCTGAGAATGACATTAGTCCCTTCTCTGCTTTATCTAAATGTTCACAGAAAGGCCAAGACAGGGTTTGGTCTTAGTAAAATACCACAGAATGTCAAATCTATTAACTACTTTTTCTGGATTCTGACAGGAGAAAATGGGAAGAGACCCTTTGAATGAGTTAAAGACCAGGAAAACCTAGTACTTTGTTAGTTCTCTGTTAATCCAGCAGAGCTCCACCCCCAAAGATTTCAAGCACGAATGAGGCTTCGTGATTGACGTAATATTAAAGCTTATGAATGATATCAATGTTATTTTCTCTTTTCAATTCCTCTGTAATAAAGAATTCATATCTCAAAGCCAAGTAAGAGTATAATACTGTAGCTATGCTCTGAATCCATTGGCATTAATCCTTGACAAAGAAGGATATTTTTACAGAATGGAGCAGGGGTACTTGGGTCATTTCTGGGCCAGTCGGGAACGTTCTCTGACCTGTCGGTGCCTCAGTCTCCAGTCTTATATATTTTTAAAAGATAATAAAACTTTATATCTATAAAGAAGATTAAGATCCTCAGATTATAAAAACATCATTCTTTTTTGATGAGCCACAACGAGTGGACATAGCCACATTTCAAGGATTCTCGGTTAGTCTTTAAAAAAAAAAAAAACTGAACCAATGTCAATACTTGATGATTTTCTACATTCTCTGCCATTTACCAATCTTTAAGGAACTAAAAAGCAATGAAAATTATTTCCCTGTCCAAACAGTATATCAGGAGCTTCTTTTAAAATGATATTTTAAAATAGTGATATTGTGTTAAATAAAAGAAAGTTATATAGCATCAAGGGCCACTTCATTAGAAGAATATCAAACCTGATTTTAGAATTTAGCATTTGAATCTACTTACAGTCTTTCTGATGATGGACCAAGAGCAGCAAGGAAGACAGGCTAACTCTCTTAGGTTTGTTCAGGTTTCTAAATATTTTTCCTTATGTCATACTGACTTTAAATGCGAGTGGATAAAAGAGCTATCACTGGATTTAAGATCTAGTTTCATTCAGAGTGGGAAAGGAGTTTTTTTTGTTACTATGAGTGCAATTTCAGCCATTTTCTTGTTTGGAAGCATTTTCCTTTTGGGTTTGCTTCTATATTTGTTTTGCTTGCTCAACATGATTTTAGAATGATTAATATTTTCCCTTTATTCTCATATAAGATAATGAATGTCCAGTCCCCTTTTGAGTGTATTGACTATAGAAAGGTAATGGAATCCCACAAATGCACCCCACTACCTGGGCTGAGGTTTCTCACAGAACATACACAGGTGGATAAAAACAGAATCAGACATAAGACAGCGTTTGTCCAGAGAATTCTCAGAAGAACACTCATAGAAAAGGCTCATATCTTCTTTAACAGATAGAGGTTCCATGGTGATTTGTGGTTGCAGTGCTCATGATAGTTCTACCCTAGAATTCAAAGATTAAAATAACTATATAAGACCTTAAATAGAAGGGGTGGGGAGAAATCTTCACTCTTCACAAAGGAACTACTACATCAAATTTGCTAACTGATCCCAAGAAACAGTGACAGTTCTAGAAAAAACCCTAGATCACAGAAGTGAACCAGGCTTACAGTTGCCTTCCCATCACCTATCACTTCCACTTTCCTCTCACCCCCCCCCCCCCCATAGGATGGCAGCAAACAAGGGGTCAAATAGAATTTGATTCCACCATCATTTGGACCAATCTCCTTCAAGATTTAGGTTCCAAATTACATTCTATTGAAGGACCCTACAGAGTCTCCTCAAAAATCAGAAAACTAATACTTGCCTCTGTTGGACAAAGGAGGAGATTGAAATGCCAAAAGCCACTGAATCATGTAATAGTCTCCATAAATTTATTATGAACCAAAGTTTCATAAAGTCTACAACCAAGGATAAAATCCAGTTCCTTACAATAAACAGCATTGGGAATTGAAAATCACCACCAGGGTCGAGAAAGCCCTGACAGATATAATGGGCTAGAACGACCCATTACCTTAATGCACTTCCAGGAGAAGCAAAGTCAAGTGTTTCAGTGTCACAATCATTGCAAAGTCAAGTGTCTCAGTGTCGCAATCATTAGTGACTTGAGCTGAGCAGGATGATTGTATCTAAAAAAAAAAAAAGGATTACACCAGCTCTTTTTCTCCAGGAGCATCAATATGCTAATGAGAAAAGAAAGAACAAACTTCATTTAGATGTAATATCCCTATGAATAAAATTTGACAGATTTCAAGTTCTCTTATAAATAATTTAATAAAACATATTTTTTAAGTGCCATCCAAAATTGTTTACTAAGAAGGCAATGCCCAATCTATAGGAAAATCATTATAAGACCCAAGAATACAAATGCAATTTTTCCCGCCTGCATTTTTAGAAAAGAAACTAAAACCTTTTCCTCATGTTCTCTCAATGTCCTAGAATTACTTCAGATAGAGCTATAAACAGCTCACATCTCAGGGAGAAATTAACTAGTCTCATTAGTTTATGTCAAAGTTTCTATTTGATATCAACATAGAAGTTATATTTTTATACAGTAAATGGCTTAGAGATTACTACTTTGTAATAAAATCTTAATTAATTAAGATTCTGGACATTAATGTTTTTGTTTTATTGTTTTAGTTAATTTTAACAATTAAAAAATTAGAGATTCTGTCAAATATTCTATTCTTTCATGTTAGGTGGGGCCAGTACTCAGTCAGGAGGCAAGGTCTGTGAACCTCATGCCAAATAAGTATGTGAGCAAATAGTGAGATAAACAAACCATTTGTGGAGACAGAGGTGTAGCTGGGCTTGGTTAGGCATGAATCAGGCCATTCCACAGAGTGGGTGTCTCCTTCCCAAGTAGGTCTTCAGGGCACAATTAGAATCCCTATAAAAGGCCCAGCTATCAGCTCCCCAGTACACTTGCCAGTGGTGTCAGCGAGCACTTGACTTCTCCCTCTGGTGAAGTGGGTAAGTCCCATTCAGTGGGATCATGTTCTTCTGTATGATTCTTCATTTTCCAGTTGTTAAAGATGTTGACGGGAGTGGGCAATGAGGGTCTACTGTGCCAGAAGACATCAGTATCTTACAGAGATGTCTAACTCTGTGCCATTTTCTCATTATTGGAGTGATTACTTAAATAGAGACATGGCCCTTCTTCCAAGGCTCTGAACTCTACAAGTGTGTTTGCACGTCAGGGGTTGGAAGATAGTTATGTGTGACTCTGATGGGGTTCATCTTTCTAAAACTGCCATCTCAAAAGTTTTCCAACCCTTGTTTCTCTTTTTTACATTGGTTCTACCCAGTATAGACCATCTTAATGTAATTATGACATCTGCAGTATTGGAGTTAAGAAGTAATTAAAGAAGCCAGCTAGATGAACTACCATACTCACCCAGCGAGTGAAACTTTCCATGTATTCTTTTTAGCATTGATGTGCTTTTGGCAAAGTCCAATGTTTTATAATGCCAAGATTCAAATGGTTTATTTGGGTTTAACAAAAGCTAACCATAAAACCAATGTTATTCAAAGTTGTACAGGTTCATTTGGAAGCTTTCTCAGCTTTCAATAATTGAATATCTGTAACATATCTCAGTTAAGGCAGAAAACATGTACTCTGTTTTCTGCATTAGTTTATCTGAATATTATAATGTCACCTTTGACTATGAAGAAATAGTGCTTAATCTTGGAATTGGTTATAATGTTGGGAAATAATCCACATTCCCTTTTTAACATTTTAGTTACCACTAAATGCTTGCTGTCACAATTAGGTATACATGGTTTCTATCTATTTTAATAAGATAGTTTAAAATCTTCCTTTACCTTTTGGCTTTCACCTATCCTCTTTGTTCAATTTTAGAGGAAGATGCTGAGTAACAATATACCGAATTTAAATTTCTACATTATTCTCTACACTGTCTGATCTGAAATATGTTAGGGAATAGAAAGAGAGAAAAGGAAATGAGATGGATAGTCCAGATTGGGTGAACAATCTGAAAGCTGACTACAGGATAGTCTGCAGATAATTTCCAGGCTTGAAGTTTCTTGGGATCTTCCCTTTTCTTTTTTTTCTTCTTAAATTTCTTTTTCTTTATTGATGAGAGAGAGAGAGAAACATCGATGAGAGAGAACATTGATTGGCCGCCTCCTGCATGCAGGATTTGGCCTACAACCTGGGCATGTGCCCTGACCAGGAATCAAACTGGTGACTTCTTGGTGCATGGGTCAAGGTTCAACCACTGAGCCATGCTGGGCATTTCTTCCCTTTTCTAAGTACAATATTCAAAGATAAAATGCTTTGAAAGGCCAGGTTGAAAATAACTACTGTTATAAAGTCAAATTATTTAGGGATCTACCCCAAACAGTGTGGCTGAAACCTCTCCAAGATGAGAAACAAAGTTTGATTCTGGATCCTATTTTATTGTTTTAGGTTTACTTGAACTTAAGGGGAAAAAAATGTCTCCACTTTTGAGAAGCATCTTCAATATCACTGAAGTTTTCAATCAATATGCCTCACATGATTGTGATGGTGCAGCACTATGCAAGAAAGACCTGAAGAACCTCCTTGAAAAGGAATTTGGAACTATTCTTCAGGTAAGAAATAAGATTTGGGGTTATGAAATTTCTTCTCAGGAACAACCAGATCAAGGAATAGTGACTTTATATTCATTTTACAGCATGACAGCTCTACACTACATCCCCATTCATTCCTGAGCCTGAAGGTACTTAACTGGCATTGTAGTCTGAGTACTCAAGTTACTAGAAATTATTTCATGTACTTGATGGCAATGGCAATGTGAATGAACTGGTGGTCATGGGTAGCTATCACCAAAGATATCAAATCAAACTAGATTTGGAAGGAACTTAAAATTACTTCCAAATTTCAATAATTAAAATCATACTGTTCACTAGTAAAATTATGTTACCATAAATTTTTGTTCTCTTTTCAAACATGGAATAAAAATCAAATTAAAGGAACTGGCTATTTCAGACAGAAATGATTGCTGCAAATCGTCATAAATTTCCATTGTATTTCTTTCTTGAGGATGAGTTCATTCTTATTCACCCAGCTAAAGAGACTTGTGGGGGTTTTTTAAGCATGTTTTTATTGATTTTTTTTTTTTTAGAGATAGAAACATCCATGTGAGATTGAAACATGGATGGGCTGCCTCCTGCACGCCCCCTGCTGGAGATGAGCCCGCAACCCGGGCATGTGCCCTGACCCGGAATGGAACCGGGACCTCTGGGTCCATGAGAGGACACTCAATCCACTGACCCACACGAGCAGGGCAAGACTTCTGTTCTTTTAATCAGCATTAAATTACAAGATGCACAAATTTCCAGCAAATGTATGCTATAAAATGAAGTATTCACAAGTTACATGGGGACAACAACACACCATACACACTGGGGTTTTTCAAATTGTTCTTAGTGTCTTTTGAGTGTCTGCATATCATAACATATACGTTATGTGTGAGAAAGTTTACTACCTGTAAATGGCGCATTATTTAAAAATGCTGTTTTCACCTTCTTTCATAGAGACCACATGATCCTGAAACGGTAGATTTGATCCTGGAACTTCTGGATCGCGACTGTAACGGGCTGGTTGATTTCAACGAGTTCCTCCTGTTCATTTTCAAAGTGGCTCAAGCTTGTTATTACGCTCTCATTGAGGCCTCGGGGCTAGAGAAGGAAGCCAGGTGTGAGGAAACGGTGAGCCCGTTACAAGATCGCAGGCAAGAAGACCAAAGGAGACTTGAGCGCCAGGACAGACAGTTGGAAGAAGAACGCAGGCAGAAGAAGCAGGAACAAGAGGAGCTCGCTGAGGAAGAGGAGCAGAGGGAGAAGCAACAGAGACATGAGCAAAGGCGAGAAAGGGAAGCGCGCCGTGAGGAAGAAGAGCAGCTGCAGACGCGCAAGGGGCGGGCACCTGAGGAGTTTCCTGACCGAGTGCAGAGGCGAGAGAGGCAGGAGCAGCGAGAGCGCCAGCGCCTTGAGGAGCAGCGCGAACGCCAGGAAGAGGAGCAGCTACCCCAGCGGGAACGGCAGGAGCTGCGGAGAGAGCGCCTGGAGGAGGAGGAGCTGCAAAGGCAGAAACACCAGCGCCAGGAGCCCTTGGAGGAGGAGGGGCGCCAGCGGCAGCTCAGGCGCGTGCAAGAGCTGAGGCGCGAGCAGGAGCTGAGGCGCGAGCAGGAGCTGAGGCGCGAGCAGGAGGAGAGGCGCGTGCAAGAGCTGAGGCGCGAGCAGGAGGAGAGGCGCGTGCAAGAGCTGAGGCGCGAGCAGGAGGAGAGGCGCGTACAAGAGCTGAGGCGCGAGCAGGAGGAGAGGCGCGAGCAAGAACTGAGGCGCGAGCAGGAGAGGCGCGTACAAGAGCTAAGGCGCGAGCAGGAGGAGAGGCGCGAGCAAGAACTGAGGCGCGAGCAGGAGAGGCGCGTACAAGATCTGAGGCGCGAGCAGGAGGAGAGGCGCGAGCAAGAATTGAGGCGCGAGCAAGAGCTGAGGCGCGATCAGGAGCGGCGCTGGCAGCAACTGAGGCGCGAGCGGGAGGAGCAGGAGCTGAGGCGCGAGCAGGAGGAACGGCGCGAGCAACAGCTGAGGCGCGAGCAGGAGGAACCGCGCGGGCAGCAGCTGAGGCGCGAGCAGGGGCCACTCTTGGAGCAGCTGAGGCGCGAGCAGGAGGAGCGGCGGGAGCAGCAGCTGAGGCGCGAGCAGGAGGAGCGGCGCGAGCAGCAGCTGAGGCGCGAGCAGGAGGAGCGGCGGGAGCAGCGGCTGAGGCGCGAGCAGAAGGAGCGGCGTCGGCAGCAGCTGAGGCGCGAGCTGGAGGTCGCTGAGGAGGAGGGACGGCAGGAAGAGACTCGTGAGCAGGGCGAGAGCCGCATCCTGAGGTGGCAGCGGCAGCTGGAAAGCGAGGCCGACGCCCGTCAGAGCAAAGTCTATTCGAGGCCCCCCAGGCAGGAATCGCTGAGGCGCCGCCAGGAGCAGGAGGAAGAGGAGGACAGGCGGCTCCAAGTCCACAAGCGGCTGCAGCGCCAGGAAGAGAAGCTGCAAGAGGAGAAGAGGCGCCAGGAACTGGAGAGACAGTATCAGGAGGAAGGGCAGCTGCAGAGGGGGGAACGTGAGGACAGGAGACGCCAAACGAGGGAGAGACAGTATCAGGAGGAAGAGCAGCTGCAGCGGGAAAAGAGGCGCCAGGAATTGGAGAGACAGTATCAGGAGGAAGAGCAGCTTCCGCAGGAAAAGCGCCAGGACCTGGAGAGACAATATCAGGAAGAAGAGCAGCTGCAGAGAGAGGAACGCGAGGACAGGAGACGCCAAAAGCGAGACAGACAGTATCAGGAAGAAGAGCAGCTGCAGCGGGAAAAGCGCCAGGAACTGGAGAAATATCAGGAGGAAGAGCAGCTGCAGAAAGAGGAACGTGAGGACAGGAGACGCCAAAATCAGGAGAGACAGTATCAGGAGGAAGAGCAGGTGCAGCAGAAGGAAGAGCAGTTGCAGAGGGAAAGAAGGCGCCAGCAACGCGACAGGCAGAATCTGGAGGAGGAGGAGCTGCTGCACCAGGACAGGAAACAGCAATTCCGGGATGAAAATCAGAGCCGTGACCTGAAATGGCAGTGGCAACCAGGGGGGAAAAATGAAGTTCGTAATTACAGGGTTCACTCCAAACGCAGAGAGAATGAAGAAAAGATCCGGCAATTGGAAGATCTCCAGGTGAGGGAGAGACAACTCCACCAGGATCGGTGGCCCCTGAAGGAAGAGAGAGAGCAAGAGAGGAGGAATTGGCAGTCACTGGACAGGCAATTCTCAGCCAAAGAACTGCTGGAGCAAGAGGAGCAAAAGGAAGCCAAAAGGCGAGCCAGGGAGTTGCAAGAGGAAGAGCAGCTGCTGAAGGAGGAAAGAGAGAAGAAAAGACGCCTTCAGGAAGAAGACATCAAGTTCCGTGAAGAGGAACAGCTCCTCCAGGAACGCGAAGAACAGCGGCTGCGTCGCCAAGAGCGCGACAGAAAGCTCCGCGAGGAGGAACAGCAGCTGTTCCGCCAGGAACGCGAGCAAGAGCTCCGCCAGGAACGCGACAGAAAGTTCCGTGAGGAGGAACAGCTCCTTCAAGAACTGGAAGAACAGCGGCTGCGTCGCCAAGGGCGCGACAGGAAGCTCGGCGAGGAGGAACAGCAGCTGCGCCGCCAGGAACGAGAGCAAGAGCTTCGCCAGGAACGCGACAGAAAATTACGTGAGGAGGAACAGCGGCTGCGTCGCCAAGAGCGCGACAGAAAGCTCCGCGAGGAGGAACAGCTCCTCCAGGAACTGGAAGAACAGAGGCTGCGCCGCCAAGGGCGCGACAGAAAGCTCGGCGAGGAGGAACAGCAGCTGCGCCGCCAGGAACGCGACAGAAAATTCCGTGAGGAAGAACAGCTCCTCCAGGAACTGGAAGAACAGCGGCTGCGTCGCCAAGGGCGCGACAGAAAGCTCCGCGAGGAGGAACAGCAGCTGCGCCGCCAGGAAGGAGAGCAAGAGCTCCGCCAGGAACGTGACAGAAAGTTCCGGGAGGAGGAACAGCAACTGCGCCGCCAGGAACGCGACAGAAAGTTCCGTGAGGGGGAACAGCTCCTCCAGGAACTGGAAGAACAGCGGCTGCGTCGCCAAGAGCGCGACAGAAAGTTCGGCGAGGAGGAACAGGAGCTGCGCCGCCAGGAACGAGAGCAAGAGCTTCGCCAGGAACGCGACAGAAAATTCCGTGAGGAAGAACAGCTCCTCCAGGAACTGGAAGAACAGCGGCTGCGTCGCCAAGGGCGCGACAGAAAGCTCAGCGAGGAGGAACAGCAGCTGCGCCGCCAGGAACGAGAGCAAGAGCTTCGCCAGGAACGCGACAGAAAATTCCGTGAGGAAGAACAGCTCCTCCAGGAACTGGAAGAACAGCGGCTGCGTCGCCAAGGGCGCGACAGAAAGCTCAGCGAGGAAGAACAGCAGCTGCGCCGCCAGGAACGCGACAGAAAATTACGTGAGGAGGAACAGCGGCTGCGTCGCCAAGAGCGCGGCAGAAAGCTCCGCGAGGAGGAACAGCTCCTCCAGGAACGGGAAGACCAGCTGCTGCGGGAGGAGCAGGAACTGAGGAGCCGGCAGGAGAGAGACCAGCAGTACCTGGAGGAGGAGCAATTTGCCCGGGAGAAGAGGAGTCGTCAGGAACTGCGGCAGGAAGAACAGAGACGCCGCCAAGAGCGGGAAAGGAAATCCCGTGAAGAAGAGCAGCTCAGCCGCCGGCTGGAGCAGGCACAGAGGCGCGGTCAAGTCTGGGAGGAAAAAGACAAGGGTCGTCAGCAAATTCTTGAGCCTGGCAAGCATCAGTTTGCCAGTGCCCCGGTGCGCTCCAGCCCTCTCTATGAGTACATCCAAGAGCAGAGATCCCAATACCGGCCTTAGGAAATGCTGCTATATCCCAACACTTGTCAAAGCTTCAGCAAAGGAAAACCGGAAACATTGGGTACTAAATGACTCAAATGTTTTTGGTTGTGGGAAAACTCTGTTATGTTAGAATATGTCTCTTTTCCAAAATCTTAAACTGTAATCCTTTCATGTACTTTGTACTTCTACCTCTTATTCTTCCTCAAGTAGTTCTTTACTGCAGGATGTCTTCGCTCTTTGGTGCAGATGTGGTGTGCATTTAAAAAAAAACAAATCATTTAATTTGTTTAAGGAGTTTAGGGGACATGTTAATTTATTGCTTTCAAAAGTAACAAGAATAATATGTGAGATTCAAAAGAATTAGGTCTGTTTTTTTAATGGTTGATCTATTTTGTGAAAAGCTTAGTTATTTTTAGTGTTCAAGTTGGTATTTCTTCTTGGGCTTAAATTACATTAATATTTACTTCCAAATAGCCTCTAATCTTTTGTGGCGCAATTAGTACAGATTCCAAAAGGAGACTGAATTTTTACAACCTTTGAATAGTGTGGGCAAAAAAAAAAAAAACTCCCTGTGGAATCAGTCTGTAACTGGAAGAAATGTCTATTAAAAATAAGGTTTAGCTTTAAGACTTAGAATTTGAATTGGATTTTTTTTACACTTAACCCCATAAACACTTACAATCTCATAAAGCAAAAGTAAGGTGTTCCTCAAACAACTCCAGAGCTCAAATTTTAAAACTGTGTCTGCTGTAGTCTATAGTGCTCAGTTCTCTTCCCCCAATCTTTGATAAATTTTAGAATATTACTAGCTTTGTTGATTTTAGCTGAGAGAAAACCTACTTAGGATCCTGTAAACATCTGTCTTGCTCTAGGGCCAATAAGAGATCACAAAGTATTTGGGGGAAGGAAAAGGAAAACATTTGTAAACAGAGATCCTTTGAAGCCTATTGATACTACCTTGGAGACATTCTTGTTGAAATAATTGGACTGTATAAAAATCAATAAATGTTTGGCAAACAATTATTTTTGTCTGTTTTAATTATGCATCAAATCATAACTCAGTATCTAATAGTCTAGGAACTGAAAAAAGTTCCCATTCACTTAAGGGTATTTGGTTATGATTATCTGTGTCTAAATACAAAAGAGAAAGAAAAAACATCTTTGTTTTCCCCAACCACTTTTGCCCGTTAGGGTGAACTCTATATTATTTCCATCCCCAAGCTAGGATTCTCTGCCCAAGTGTTTTTATTCTTGACCTCACAGCTTCCTGTGCTTGTTTTTGTTGTTGTTTTTCAGTAAATCACTGTTCATTACAAATGATGGTGCTTCCAGTATTTGTTAATATTTCCTTCTGAGAATACAGCAGCTTCTTTGTCTCTGAAGTCTAGTAAGCCAGTAGTAGAAAACAGTCTGACAGTTCAGCTCAGCACTATAGAAATTATAGATGAGCTATTGGTTTAAGCAACATAGTCCATTAGGTGACCCACTCAGAATGTGTTTAATAGTAATATCAAAAATACCAATTTATTATCTAATGATCCAAACACCCCTGTGCCACCTGCTGGATCTTATATTTGGTGTTCAAACTTTGGTAATAGGAATAAGTCCAAGAAGGCCCTGATCCAAGATAGTATCTAATTGTGAGAGTCGTGGATGAGAAGACATCCTAAGTTATAGGCATTCAACTGTTTTTGATCAGTTGTGGAGACAAGAAAGCTTTGCTCCTGAATATCATTCTGATGGAGTAAGGTGACATTTTCTGCAAGGAGCACCAGCCTCTTCCTCACTTTAACATAAAGAGCATATGCCCACCAAAGACAGAACCCGGCAATCCCCTGATAACACTAACATGGAACATCACCTCTTTCAAATGATTTCTAACTACAAAACTATTTTTCTCCTAAGATAAGTATATGCTTTTTCTTAGTTAAGGATCTTCACAGAAACTATGGAAGAGCCTCACTAGCTTGCCCCAGGATCTATTCAACAGGCATGCATTTCAGAGCCTCCTTAAAAATGTCAGCCCCAGGATACTCCTGAAATATACACTCATCATCTAAGCTACAGTTCAGCAATAATAATTATGGTAAAAACAATCAAAGCCCTTCAGACTTCTTGCAACATGAGGGAAGAGCCATTTCTAAAGAAGAAAGTATTGTTTCATCAGTTATAATGGCATGTTGTTTTTTTTAAAAATGGATCAGACAGCCTATGCCCTATGGCTCTTCTTTTAGGATGCTGACAGTCTAACCCTCCTGCTCCACCTAGATAATCATATATGGTCAGGAGCTTAAGGTTGTTGGGCAATTGCTTAAGTAAACTGGGAGCTCTATTAACATTACCTTGGCTGCTGCTGAGGAATAGGGTTGAGGATTTAAATGCTCTGTGATGGAAAAGCTGGCCTCTGTGTGTTATGGGTTGAATTATGTCCCCCCTAAAGGTTCATATGTTGAAGTTTTAACCTCCAGTACAGTATAATATAGGAGACATAGTATTTAAGTAAATAATTTTATTTAAATGAGATCATTAGTTGAGGCCTACTCCAAAATGAACGGTGTTCTTATAAGAAGAGAAAATTTGGGCACATGTGATAGAGGGAAGATGATGTATAGACACAGAAAGAAGATGGCCATGTACAAGCCAAGAACAGAGGCCTGGAACCGATCTTTCTCTCATAACCTCCAGAAAAAAACAACCCTACCCAATACCTTGATCTTAGACTTATGGCCTCTAGAATTGTGAAAAAATAAATTACTGTTGGCTAAGCAACCCAGTCTGTGATTGTTATGATAGCCCTAGCAATATACATTGTAAAGTGAGATTATGTTGCTAGGGAAATCTACTGTATTATAATGATCATTATCCTTTGACAATTGTACAAACCTGTCCTTATTGCTCAAAGACCCTCATTTTTTTTTTTAATCCTTACCCAAAGATATTTTTCCATTTATCTTCAGATAGAGTGTGAGGGGGAGAGAGAGAGAGAGAGAGAGAGAGAGGAACATCAATGTGATAGAGACATGTCAACTGGTTGTCTCCCTCATGGCCCCAACCAGGGCCTGGGGACTGCAACCAAGGTTCATGCCCTTGACTGGAATCAAACCTGAAACTCCCTGGTCTGAGGGTCGACGTTCCAAACACTGAGCCAAACCGGACAGGGCAAAGACCTTCATTTTTTAAAGTAAATCTGTCATAGTTTCTATGGTGCCATGGAAAAATGCTACAAGGAATAAGAAGCCTGAGGATTATTTATTCATTCATTTAACAAAGATTGTGCCAGACATTCTAGGCAAAATGCATGCAGTGGTGAAGTAGTCATTCTGGCTTGTTCCTTCACTTTATCTGTGCATGCCACTTAAACTGTCTGGGCCTCCATTGTTTCGTATTTCAAACTGTGAGATTAGAATAGGTTATTCCCAGGACTGAAAAATAATGACTTTAATTCTAACATTCAGCTTGTCCAACTGAACTCTCAAAGCAATTCGAATAATCCCTCACCCCAACTCTACCTTTACCTAACAGAAAAAGGAGGAAAATTAACTAATGAAGGTAATCATCAGAACCTAGTTTCAATTTCAAAGATCTTTCTTTTCTAGCCAATCAGACCTGAACTTCCCTCCATTTGTCTCCCAAATTCCTTTCCAGTGTGCCTTTCTATCATCCCAGGTTTATTCGTTGAAGAAGACCCCTACCTACCCAATTTTCTGTGACCCTCATACTATCAAAGATCATTGCCCAGATCCATGAAATTGACTGACTTATTTATTTATTTATTTATTTATTTATTTATTTATTTATTTATTGGCTTACAACAACAGAGATTTATTCTCTCACAGTTCTTGGGGTCAGAAGTCCAAAATCAAGGTGTTGGCAGGGTTGGTTCTTCCTGGAGGTTCTGAGGAGAACCCATTCCATACCTCACTCCTTTCTTCTGGTGGCAGCTAGCAATCCCTGGCATTCATGGGCTTGAAGCTGTGTAACTCCAATCTCTTCTTCCATCTTCACATAGCTTTTCCTCTTTGTCTCTCTTATATCTAAAATTTCCTTTTTTTTTTCATTTTTAAGAACATTGCCATTAGATTTAGGACCCACCCTAAATCTAGGATGGTCTTACCCCTAGAATCTTAAGTACATCTGCAAAGACCTTGTTTCCAAATAAGGCCACATGCATAGGTACTAGGAGTTAGACCTTGGACATATCATTTTGGGGGCCATCATCCAACCTACCACACCAGTGAAAATCACTCAGACTGTGGTCCATATTTGTGTCCTGCAATACAAATGAATGATTTTTTTCCAGAGTTGCTTTCCAACAGACAGTAAGATTCTATTTGGCCAGTGCAAGTGTGGCTTTGACTTTCTGCCAATGTCACCACCAATCATGAAGGACACATCCATCACTGCACCCACACTAATGAGGTCATATTAGATGTCTGGACCTTACATGATAATAAGCTAAAAGAAATCACAAATAGAAAATCATCTTGTCCCTAACATTCTCAGAGGCACAGTCATCAAGTAAATTGAGATGTAAAAAAATGACAGTCTTTGAAAATACAAGAGGCACCCTAGCAGATTCCTTCTCTGTTAGCTCAATGGTTTTTCCTGATACAGTATAATTTGTTATTCTTTAATTTTCCCATATCAACAAAAAGATAAACCTCTCTTAGCCCCATAACCTAGAGGAGCACTGTGTACTAGTTTTTCTGTATTTGAGTATAAATGCAAGATTGGCCCTCCTAAGTTTTCTTTCCCATCTCAAGAACCAGAACATACCTGATTTATACAAAGGATCTGTTCCTGCCTTCCCTTGTATTAATACCTGTCAGGTAGTTAAGGAAGATGTTTTCTGCTCAGAATCATTGGTTCTATTCAAAGTAAAAATGGAAGAGTTATGGCCTGAAGGCAAAAGGGTTTAGATCTTCCTCTGTGTTTTCCTTTACACAATGACCTGGAAAAATGAGACATGAATGGATGTGAAGGTAGAAGCCACAGTCTTAACATTCTGAACCTAAAAGTGAGGTTAGACCTCAAAAGTCTTCAAGTTGTAGTTTTGAGATCAATGGGGTAGCTTAGGATATTTTTGTTTTCTCTTTTTCTTGGCTGCAGAGCATAAGCGAGAACCTATGAAAGCGGAGGCCGTGAAAGCTGTCTAGAGGCCTGGCAGCGGGGGCATTTACCTAACCCACATGGGAAAGAAAGACCAGTCTCCCCAGCCAACTAGGGCCTCTCTTTTCACTGGCACCTGCTCAACCTTTAGATAAGTCACCTACATTCAATTTTGCATCAAGTGGCTGATTTCAAAGCAGCTGACATATGCATTAATTACTTCCAATCTTTTTTTAAATCCTCACCAGTTGGTATTCCATTTATTTTCAGAGAGACAAAAAAAGAATTACTCCCATTCTTTTCTGAGAAGAAAATGAAGTCCTTGGTTCCACTTCAACTGAAAGCCCATGGCCATTAGTTAAGTATGAACCCATCTCTGCACTAATTACACATTGCTAAT